TGATCGATCAAAAACTAATATATCACATACAAACCATAATCTCTTCTACTTTTAAATCACTGTTTTAATTCATGAATTCCTAAACATATACATATGATTACAATGAAGTGCGGTGAAAAAGTACAACATACCCTTTATTAGGTTCTTCCTGACATTGTGCTCTCTAATCCAAACAAGATTCTAGGTTCAATCACTCATCTATTAGACAGATCCTTTGTTTTTATTAGCGAGGTATTCATTATAGTATTGCCCGACCCATTGTTACCTATCTTTTTTTCGCCAGTGTTTCCCCTTAATATACTTTTAGTTAAGAAAATATAATCCTTTACAAGAGTTTAGTGTAGCTATACAAGGGAATCATTTATACGTGCCGTTGAAATAGTATTCAATATTGTATATTCTAAGGTACGTGATAATCTTGAGGTATAGAGAAAATTTATAAATACACGTTTTGTGCATAAGTCACTGCGTTTCTTATTTTGAATTGCATTCTTTTCTCATCTATGATGAATATTAGGTACGTGATAATCTTGAGGTATAGAGAGAATTTATAAATACACTTTTTAATAATTTTTGTCTACACTGGCGTTGCCAAAACAAAAAAAATCTGCAAAAAATGAATAGCGACGTAAGTATTTCGTCATGTCAGCTCGGGCCCGACGGTTCCCAATTCATCATTTCGCTGTCATCTTTGTAACAAAATGAGCAAAAATCTGGACTGGTGGAAATAGACTTAGAACCCACTTTTACTGACTATTAATCACTCGACTTTTTGCTAACATTTCTTTACGGATCAATGCCGTATTCTTTTAAGTGATTTATTTTTTAAACTTCGAGGGTTATTTCCTGGGATTTTAAAGATTATGGAATGAAGATCAGTTTCTTAATAATGTTTAAAGCGTTCTAGAAAAGTCAAACACGGTCAACTACATGGAGAATTCAGATTATGTATTTCTTAACTGAACAAAGCAGGACAAAATAGGTACGTCTAAATATACTTCAGATATGCTGTAAGAGCTTTAAACCTTGTGACATGTAAGAAAATATCAGTCTATGACAATCAACTTATTCACAGCATCTTCTTAAGTGCGCCAAATATAATATCTTAGTACATATAGGCGTACATAATGATGAAAACATCGATTATTGTTATATTTCGCAATAATTATAAACATTTTGAAATTCAATAATGTGTACATCATGAGATTTCTCTATTGAGGAGTGACTAACTTTAAATACATTAGTTATAGAAAACAGGCAAGAGGATTCAGATCGACAAATATAGTTAGACATTGTTTTAATTTACACCCTTAAGTTTTCGTTAATAGCGACTATGCCTATAATCAAGGCACTCTTTTACTTAATCACGAGCAACATATCGAAATCTTTGCTGTGTTCTTTAATAGCGATTCATTTTAATATGTAACTTCCAGAACATTACACTGTATAAAATGTGTTTAGAGTTTAAACATATTTCTAAACACAACCACTTTTGTCAGATGCTTGAATCTACGACATGTTTAGATTTGTGGATGTCTGTGACATGATTAAGTACACGACGAAAGCCCATACGTACCATCAAGTAAAAAATTGATAAAGTAAATAAAAATGAGTTATAGGGTTGAAGTCGAATGACAGGCTAAATACACACTTTTATCCCTCTTTCTTATCACCTGTCTAATAAAAATGAACCCTAAAATAGAAATTTGATTATTCCTATAAGTTATTATTGATGGCATTAACGGGCTTTTACACTGTAAACATGTCTTAGACTAAATGCGAGAAGAAACGGGTGCAAAAAATTGTCAACTCTAATCACCACTTTTATCGTGTAGTGTTCGCGAATGTATTAAAATAAAAATATTACAAAATCGTTATCAAAAGATAATTGGTATTGGTTCATTTCTTTTGTATGAATATTAAATAAAATATTGTTGTTCTCTTCGCTTCACAAAGAAAACAAATCTAAACTCTTCCGGAAACAATAAAAAAGGATGAATCTCAATGAAATTTCGATTGCACTGAGAGACGAAAGGGAAATATACATTAAAAAATTGATTAATTTACAGACAGCATATTCTTAATTACACTTCATTTTAAGCAGCTCAATAAACATGTAATCCTTTTGTGAGTCATTATACAAAAAAATAAATATATATTCCATTATTATTCTATAATTAAACTTGACACCATTAAATTTGTGCAATATATACTCATCTTATGTTCCATATAAGGTGCAGAATGTATTAAATAAAGTGCACTTGATAAATTCGTTGATTTGAAATTGCGTAACTGTATTGAAGTCTGTCACGCTCTTTGTAAGAAGCATTAGGGTCCTTCACAATAAATCATGCTGTGCATTATGCAAAACACTATGCACAGCACGCTGACTTAATAAGAGGAAAGGGCTTGTAAAATATAATTGTGAAATATCCAGACAAATAGCCACAAACAAACGTGAGTTAAATACATTCTAAAAAAACCCGGAAATGTCAGGTAACTGAAGCAGGCTTTAGTAATAGCAAAACAGACGTTATTTTATCAACCCTGTGTTTTGGCTGTTGGGGGCGCCCTACCTGGGGTATGGAGATCGCTTGTATTGTCGTACCCAGCTCCCGACCAATACAAAGGGCGTTTTGGAAAGCTAATTTATTTGAAATCTTTATTGATATATTTTCTTTCACCAGTGACGTGATCTGGGGTGACCAATATCGCGTATGCGCGGCGTTTAATTGCAGTGATCATTAATTGTGCACGATAGGGCTCTGTGCACAAGTACCCCCTCAATGGTAAGAAAGGAAGAGTTTGGGGAGACCATGGAGAAAGACATTGAACGCATTGCTGATGACGCCTGACACTGACACGCATAAGTCGATTTTCAGCTAACTTTGACAGATTTTTGTTAAAAAACGAGTTTGACAGAAAATTTGACAGAATAGCTGTTTTTTGGCAGATTTCTGGCAGAATTCTAACAATGGTTATTTGACAGAAAAACAGCAGATTTGGGAAGAAATGGTACATTCCTTTTTAAAAAATCTTTTCAAATAAACCCTTGCGAAATTGAACAGGTTGACTAGTCTAGGTGCTGAGGTTCACTGGGAACTGGACTATAGATTGATTATAATGTAATTTGAACTTCAAATAAGGCAATATTACAACATCTGCATAATGTGATTTTAAATGGTTATAGTGTATTTCGAGTAATTCTGGGGAATTCGGCATTTTAAAAACTAATCTGACAGATTTTTGAAGTGCGTTTAGCAGAATTTGGTCATGACCTTACGGTCTCCCTGCTGCCTCGAAGACGCCGAGGATTTGTGCACATTCAGGATGAACTAAGTCGTGCATACTGCGTGCTATACGCGCGCAGCGCAGTACACGCACGCGGTGTGTCCATTCGCGACCGCACATTCGCTATTATGCAACCTCGTGCCCCGTGGGTACGATCTTGCTGCGCCATGTTGTTTCCCATCATGCCTTGCGCGATCGTAACCCCTGGAATTGTGTAATTTAAATGTGCCAAAATATGGCACATTATAATAAGGGCTGCAGTTTATCCGTTTTACGTGCCGGCGCCATCTGTAAAATGTTAAAAGTTGTGATTTTGAAGAATCAATCCTTTCAAACATAACGTTTGGACGTTGCGTTATTTAGCAAAGATTTGTATTAAATGTACGTACCCCTTTCGTCCCTTTACAACCACAGATACAGGTTGTTTTTTTTAGCGAAAAACGCGGCTGCCATAATCCATATCGTACAGGCATCGCGACTTTTGAATCACAATGTTTTTTTCGTACATGACGTTACGTGCAAAGCACGCAAGCGTATTATCGGCGCGCCCGGCGTGCAATCTTCGAAATGCGCGCGCAGTACCTGTGAATAGCCAATCAGCGTCATTTACGTCATCATCACAGCCAGGGGTTAGTGTAAGGAACGAGCACGCGCCCCTGGAGTCGAGGCTGGCTATTATGAGCTCCGTGCACAAGTACCCCTTCAACGGCCAGAAAAGGAGAGTCGGGGGAGACCTAGACTGGTTACCGGTCCATCCGCCGCGTATTTCGAATTATCCAAAGTTATTTGGGGCGGGAATTACTTTGGGAGACCATCACAAATTAAATTCGAACGTAGCTTGGCACATTCAGGAAGTCGTGCGTACTTCGCACGAACCAGTACAGTAAAGTACGCACACGCTGTGTGTAGCGTCCACGCACCCACACGGGACTCTCAAAGTGGTAAAAACGCGCCCTCTTTTGTTGGCGCACGGAGCCCATATGAGCTCCGTGCGCCGACGAAAGAGGGCGCCCTTTCACCTAGCAACGACGTCCCATGGGTGGGACATTCCATCCACTGGGTTCTCGAAAGTGGTAAAAAGCGCCCTCTCTGTAGGCGCACAGAGCCCATTAACCACAATGCTCTGCGTTTCCTACACAATACTTTTGAAAGAAATTAACTGTTACCAGTGCCGTTTGATACAGCGGCAGCCCCAGCGATGTACGAGATAAAATGACCTTTTGTACTTAAAAGTACTATTCAGGGAAAGAATCGCGCAATTCCACAGCATGTCATGTATTCTTAGTAGTTTGCACTTGCCTACATAATGTTGCTCAATACATAAAGAGACTCATGGACCACGTAATTAAAGCGATTTTTTGCTGGGGAGCCACAGCCGGACGGTAGTGTTTCTGTATCAAACGACATGGCTGACGTGTTTATGCATTCCTTTTGCACTCAAAACGATTACTGCTCGGTTGGCATGCGAAGACGCTATGGGATTGAACAGACCCATGCGAAAATCAGCCGGGTGTTCTTCAAGCCATACGTCCGCTAACGTCCACGGGCATGCAATGTCGCACATGGAGATCTTGCGAATTGTCAAGAAGCGCCTTCTACATTTCATGTACAGAATCCAGAGGCAGTTGGAGATGCGGTTTTGGATACGTTCGGGTGTAAACGAAATCAGCTGTAGTAGCTAGGCAGAATTATACTTCCCGATTATGTTCCTAACATTTCGATGTGTCCGTGTTCACCTGTAGGGTATGGTAAATAAAGACAAGAAAAACCAAGATTAGTTCCTCACAAGGCTTTTTTAAAGTTTATTTTTAACGTATGGTTGAATTCGGTGGCCGTGTTTGCGACTCCACCAAAGACTTGGTCACCACCTTTTGTCTGACGTCACATCCATAATGTAAGACTCTTGTTTTAAGTATTTTATTGGACGAATGGTGAACCAGTCTAGAACCAAGTAATTAGAATCTACTAGTCTTGGGATAGATTAAAGCGTATCCATAAATACACTGGAAGCTTTACAATTCGTAACAAGAAAGATACCTGGAAAGTATTCAAATCAGTTTAATAAGGTAAGATTCATTTTGTAGACTAGACTCGGCGCCAATGGGAGACTTTTGAGACTTTGGTGGCAGCAAACACACTGGTCCTTTTTTCATTGTTTGCGTCAAATTGAACATGCGCGCTTTAGCTGAAATATGACGTAAACAATATTATTGAAAAAGGATCGATGTATTTGCTGCCACCAGCGTCCCATTACAAGGTTGGTGAAAAATTGTGCTGACCTAAAGCGTATTTAGGAGTAGACGTAGGCCTACCAACATTCAGGGGCGGATCCAGCAATTTTTGCAGGGGGGGGGGGCTTCATCACCAAATCAATGTTGAAATGTAGCCAGGCTTTTTTCTCAGGACACTTGCGCTCCGTAAAATCAAAAGGTGGGGAGGGGGGGGGGGGGGGGGGGGGCTCGTTCCGTACTTTCAATGGAAGCGCTGTTCAAATCCTACGATAGCGAACACTATTTCACAAAATATTGAACATTATACCCACGTACCCCAGCTGGCTCAGTCCGAATGTTGTGCACAAGCGGACATTATTACCTGTATAATTGTCATAACTTGTTTTGGGATGTCAGAGCAGAGGGCAGAGGGGGGGGGGGGGGTAGAGTTCACATAATTTTTACTATATTTCTATGAACATGTTTTTTTGTCAGACACCCCCCCCCCCCGGATCCGCGCCTGACATTTGCGCGCGCATGATAAAACAAATCTGTCCAAGTGTCCTGCTTTTTGCTGTATATCTTTTCTGTTTGCGGTCAGCGGGATATGAACGGGCTCTGTTGGCACAAAACCATGTCTAAAGAAGTGTGGTCCGAAGTTGTCTATGGAAACATTCATCCATACCTTTTTGACACTATCCACGCACTCTACGGTAACGCGAGGAATGGGGCTCCAATCAATCGCCTTGAGGGTATCGTAGTGGCCACTGTCGTGGTTGTTCTCGAAGCCGAAGTTGGTGTTCTCTGTGTTCTGCGAGAGTCGGTCGTCGAAGTCCAGCTCGGTGAAGTACTCGGAGCTCATCTCGCTCAGCATACGGTCCAGCTTGTTGAAGAGTGCCGTGAAGGTCGGCCGGAGGTCTGGGTTCTCGTGCCAGCACTCCAACATGACGATGTACCTTTGTTTGAAATGGACAGGAGGACAGGTCACGTTGCGGTTTTGATATCAAGCAATCTGCTGATCCCATTAACTATCAACCTGTTTAAAAAGGCGCAACTGATTATAGGCCTATAGTACTTATAAACAAAGTTTTGGGGCGGATCCACTTAGTTCCCTTGGGGAAAAAATAATTGATAAAATGGTCGTTTGGTGCGTTTCCTAGATCACTCATTACGAATATGCGGAAAGCTTTCATTATTTCCAATTGTGCGTGTGCTAAAACAGCGCATCGAAAGACCGACTATCAATTGGCAAAACTAATTTCCAGAACAACTTTAAAAGACGTCTGACTAATTACTCTCTAAATGTTAAACACCTTGACGGAAAAAGGCCTAGATATAGAGTGTTCGCTCACGTAAAGTATATTCCTTGATAAGAATGATTCCGTTCTAGCTTTTTTTCTGGTGAACAAAATTGTTCATCCGACTAGACCGACTTACATTTCGTCTGGGCACCCGCCTGGCTGTTCCATTCGGTAGCCGTCCTCTAGTTTACGCACCACCTCAAAGCCGTCCATGCAGGGGTATGGGACGCCCCCTAGAGTGTAGATCTCGTACAGGACAATGCCGAATGACCATCTGTAAATTCACACAGTACAATGAATGGAAACACTTGACGCTGAATAACAGGAAATCTACTGGAAGGTCAAACTAGTGGCTAAATAATAAATCTGTGGATTGCAAGCATCAATGCGATGTGTGCATAAAGAGCTTTTATCTTTTAAAGTTGGATACATTGCAGATAACAATTGGAGATTATTTGCGCCTATAATTCAGAAAATAAACGTTGTCACGTCGTCTTTGCCACTGATGGTCAAAGGTGGCGGAAAATATAAAGATCTCTAAAAAATATCAGTTTTGAATCCATAAAACTCGAAGAAAACGATCATTTTAAATCGGTTGAAATGTCACGCTGTTAATAAAAAAAGAATTCCTGAAGACAAAATCAAATTCATTTCATATTTTGCAACCCATAGAGTCATATTCAAGCAAGGCATATTTTAAAGGTTTTACCGAGTTCATCACAAGCCAGGTCATGACTGAGTAACGAAAAGTGAATGCTGTTGTCTTACAATAACCAGTCGATTGACAAATTAAGACTGAAAGACTAATGACTGACTTATGAGTGACTTGTGATTGACCTGTGTCTGACGGGGTCTACCCGATGTTCCCCAATACCTATGTTCCCCAATACCGATATTCCCCGAAATCCTTAGGATTAGGGTTAGGGTTAGGGTACGGATTTCGGGGAACATAGGTATTGGGGAACATAGGCATGCACCCGTGTTTCACATGTGATGCTTTGTGATATATCTTGGTTACAATTTTCAACTTACACGTCACTTTTGATTGAACACGTGCCCTTGGTGTTAGTCTCCAGACTGACCCACTTCAGTGGTCGTTTCTTCTCCTGGCCAAGTCTCTTGTAGCCCCGCTGATAGATGTCATCGGCCATACCAAAGTCTGAGATCTTGACCACCAAGCCCTCGCCGACCAACACATTGCGGGCAGCCAAGTCACCGTGGTAGTATCGAGTGTTGGACAGGTACTCCTGTCAAGAAAAAAAAATGGATCGGAAAAGGATCCAAATGTGAGACTTTTAGCTGCGTTTGGTGATTCACCAGAGTGCTCGGGGATAAGAGGTCGAAGTATCGATTGTTAAAGTAGACATGGGTAGGCGCAACACAGTCGTGTCGAAGCCATGTACTGTCTTGTGTGAAAATCAACACCAAGTTCGCAATGTGCATGGCATTACAACAAAATTGTAAAATCTCGTATATACACGATCAAACACAAAATCCATTTTAATTAGTTATTAAATTTGAAGACACATTGTCTGAACATTTTATGCAATGTTTAGGCATGTCTCATACCGATCAATCACAATCATTTTCTTTAGATTTGATCTTTTTGGTGAAGTAGACAAAGATAACTAGTTCGATGGACTAGCAAACATTCCAACTTGCACCCAGCTGACTACAGCTGTGGCGGGTCAGCTGGACGCAAGTTGGACTGTCTTCTAGTCAAATCTATATTTAACTTGAGTGCTTTCAGAGTGTATACATCGGGTTAGAATAGTTATCTTCGGATACTTTCATAGCTCATTATAGTATGATCTTACGCTTTATGTTTAAAGTGCTGCATTGAGACTTACCGGTTGCGTTCACATCATTCAAAACTTATTTCATTATCACAAGTAAAAGGGTGCAATTACTGGCGCTCTAATATTTTGAAATTATTCTTTGTGCCCAACGCCCTCACAAAAACTTACCATGCCGCGTGCGATTTGGCGCGCTATCTGCAGCTGACCGACTTCTGTGATGCAGTACATGGGATCCTCAGCTTGCCACTTTTCCTAAGAGAAGAATGGTATACATTATTTTAATTAATTTAGTTTCAAATGATAATAATAATTATTATTATTTGAAATTAAACATGTCTTCGATATATCCGTTCTTTCTGTAAGAGGCTGAACTTTTGCAATTGGAATCTGCTTCCCCTAATTTGAGGAACATAGCAATAAGATGAATGTCTCCTAAAACGTAATTGATAGCGATTGGACAAAGGGCGTGGGTGGGAAAATAAATTATAACATTTTTTATTGGCTGAACACTATCAAAACCTACATCTCTGCACTTCCACAGAAAGCCGAGCAGGTCGCCATATTTCATGAACTCGGTGATGAGATAGTACGGCTCATCCACCGTGCAGCAGCCGAGTATCGGCAGGATGTTGGGATGGGCACCGATGTCGATAATCAGCTTGATCTCATCTAAGAAATCCTCCTTTGTCTCCCGTGTCGCATTAACTGTAAACCCATAGGTACAAACGACAATGGTCATAAATAGTGACTTGACAGTATTGGGGTACGGAAGCGAATGAGAGGTGCCACTAGTAATCACGCTAATTGATCCGACTTGACGTATTTTTGTGACTTTTGCCGGTATAATTAATCATGAACACCAATCAATTAAAAGAAGATTTCATTTTCTGGAATTACAACTTTTGTTCTAAGTAATGTGGTTATCAAACCCATGGCAAAGGGTTTCCTCCGTTTACAACTGAAATCACTGATTAGTTGTAACGGCCGGTTTTGCAGGTAAATGTTAGATGCGCCCTCGATTTATTTCGTATCTCGGTCCGCAGGAAGAACTTCGTCGGATTGATGAACTATTTTGGCCTTTGTAGGTGAAAGAATAGTGCCTCTGTCGTCGTCACGATTTCTACCACTTTTAATAACTGCTAACTGGTTTACTAAATGCCAAAACAGGAAAATAGAGTCGTTTGCACCTCAAACAATACGTACGTCAAACAAATTTGCATACTTGAATTGTTCTGTTTACGAAATGTATATTTTTTGTGTGGGACAATATACCGTTTGCCCCCCTAAACGAGTCCGTCTGACTATTTTTTGAAATAACGACAAAACCACGAGGTCAAGTTGAAATTTGTTGGTTGTGAAGATTCAATTTTAGTATTGTGTTAAGTAAGCTGTGTAAAATCCTTCATGTTGTGAAAAGGGCTGCAGTTGGGATTGGAATCATTTGCCTGGCTATCAGTCATCATGGCAAGACCTCAGTTTAATTCTCAAGGGCAAATGATTCCAATCCCAAACCACGTCAGACTTTTTTAAACAACGAGCAGGATTTTACACAGCTTACATAATACAGCACTGAAATTGATTAAGGCCAGGAATTTGGTCACAGTGTCCCAAAATGTCGTGATCAATTGACATTGTGCATTGATGTGTGACTGAAATTAAATGAAACTAATAGGGGTTGAGGCCAAGGCTTAGGAGTATCTACACAACCAAACACTTCAAAACTGACCTCGTGGTTTTGTCAGGTGGACACTTTTTGGGACATACTGCAGAACCACTTTGCAAAGAAAACCTGGCTATGGGCTTGAGGAACCGACAACAAAGATCCAATGCGCAGTCAGAACAATTTGTATCAGAATGCCAAGAAAATAAAGAAAAATATTTTGAGATATCATATGAAGACAAAATGAGGGCACAAAAGCGGCATCTGATACCCACGTTTAAGACTCTTGACAGCGACAGGTCGAGGGGCGTACTTCTTGATCGTGCTGTCTTTAGAACTCAGGATTCCACTGTACACGATACCGAACTGACCATTGCCAAGCTTCTCGTTAATTACTAGGAGGGAGCGGTCAATCTCTCTGGACTGAAAGTCAGCGTCTGGCTCCCGCAGATCATCACATGATGCATCCAGGTCAGAAGTGCCTAAAAATAAAGTACGTTTAGGTAATTTCAAACCTTTAAGATAAAAATGTCAGCTTATTGTTCTGTCTGACACACTTGGAGCAGATTGGACAGAAAAATTCTGGAAATTCAAAGTAACGGAGGGATTTATTTATTTATTTATTTATTTCAATGTAAGTCCCTGCATGCCTGCGAACAACAGCTAAGTTTTTTTTTGAAAACCATGGCTTCGTTTTTAGTCACATTGAAGACTTCGGTGACCATAATATATGATAATACTCCGAAATTGAGCCACATTGAGCCACAATCCCTCAAACCGCAAACCTACTATCCCCTGAGGCCGTAGCCGGAAGCAAAGCTATCAACAGAAGTAAACTATCCGTGATTTACTTGCCAAACTGAGTGTCACGATTTTGTCGAGAAGAGCTGCAATGACTTTACCGCCTATCGGGGAAGTCCCCCTACCCCCTCTAGTGATGCACGTGCACTAAACTTACTCCCTCTAGCGACGCACGTGCGCTAAACTTAACCCTTCAAGATGAGACCTTACCTTTTCTGCATACCTCCTCTTCGGGGTACCGAACAAAAATGGCTTCTTTGGAGTCAGCCAATGTCTTTCTCCTCTTGATGACGAAGCAGAGTATCAGGGCGCCTCCAACGACGACACAGGCCAATATCGAGCCAACCAGCCAGGCTACGTAGGAGGGCGACTTCTTAGTTGCTGCCGGGCCTGGTAAAGTGGTGCCTGGCAAAGTGGTGCCATCAATATTTTGGTCTAATCTTTTACAAATCTCGTCTGACAAGTAAACAAACGCATTGTTTAAGAATATATATATCTGAACTCAGATTTATTAACAATTATTAACCCAGTCTTTTTGTTTATCATTGCAAAAAGGAGGACACGGTAACTTCTGTACTATATTACCACAGTTTTTGCAACCCGAGTATTTGTATTTTTACGATGACGTTACCTAGGCCCTATTTTTAAGTCGAAAGTATTAATTATTGAGAACATTGAAAGATCTCTGACTCTTTTTAGGTTTGAATGTTTCTTAGTGACTAGTTCGGAACATTCTGAGTGTAATCATCCTTAAAACAATCACAGGCCTTTAATGGTTCCTGGAGAACAACTGTCCTTCTGGTGTTCCTTCAAATAAACTAAACTACTGCTCCTCTTTATTTAGTTTTTTTATTAACAAAAAGAGATGGATCGCCACATATAGGTATGGGAATAAATTCAAACTTTAGAATTGCATGTATTATTTATGTGTTTTACAAGAAAACAGCATTCGTTTAAGGGTTCGTGAGATGATTTTTTTTTTGTAGAAACACTCCTATTGTGCAACTTTCTACTCCTCTTGTAAAAGCATGAAAACTATTTCACATCCCTTTTTGGGTATTTTTTAAAATGATAAGTGTACTTCTTTAAACATTTAAAATTGTTCATGCTTTTCCGGACAACTGAGGGCTCTGTTGCTATGATATCATTGAGGAATAATAAAAGGTTTGCGGAAACACCATGTGCGAATCATTTCTCAACTGAGAAGAACCAGAGGTATAAACTCTGGTTCTATAAACTCTTTTCAGAGCCATTCTCTTAGTTGAGAAATTATTCACACATGGTGTTTCCGAAAACCTTTCATTATTTAGTATCTCCACAATGCAAAGCCTCAATCTTACTTATTACTGAGGAAGACACTGTTCAGTTTAAGGCTTTTCTGTTGAAGATGTGAACCCAAAAATGTGTTCATTAAAACATTTGTGAGAAAACTTTGCTCACTGGCTTATTACCATGCACTGAGACAACAACGAATCACCCCCCACCAAAAAAAGAAAATCGACAACAGCAAAATATCCAAAATTCTGGCTACTTTTTGTGCTGAAATAGCTGTAAAATTGAGGTTTCTGCATGAAATTACATCACAGATTTGCACATGAATATTGAAATTTTCACTAGCATAAAAACGGAAAGGCACAAAAATACCCTTGAAAATGGCGAAACGAAAATTGAAAATAAGGTTAAAGGGGACGCAAAGGTGCAATTTGAAGGATTGCAAAACAACATTACATTGCATTGGCCCTTAAACTATTCGTCTCTTGGAGGGAGTTGGAAGATTAAATAAATTACACATCTGCAAATATGTTGGAACGCCATTAAGATCTTGATTTGTACAGTTTCGGATTATGAGAAGTAATTGACTTTTTGGATTTTTCAAGACAACTGATTGAGACTTGGCGATGACATTTGAAATAATGGTGCAATACTCCAGCTGCGGTCTGATAAGGGTGGTAGACAAAGTACGAAAAAACCTATTTATTTTTACAGGAGCGAAAATTACGCTACACTAAGCCGATTAGCCTTCTTAACAAAATGGGCAATGTGATGGACAAAATTAAGCCTACTGTCAATGAAACTACATAATCCCTCTGTACACGATTGAGAATATTATCTATTTATACTTTTTCGATGCATTTTTTCACAATATTATTATTTTTGAATCAATTTCCTTTTATACAAACAGACAATGCAGTGCTGAGATTAAAGAAAAATACTATTTATTCTTACTTACTTTGGTGGCTTAAATTCTTGGCCAGCTGTTCGTTGTAAGTATTGAATTTCAGAGAGGCCTTCGGTCCTAAATGTTGTTTATCTACAAAGGCTCTCACCTGCACGTACAGATGCAAAGAAATCAAATTTCATTTTTAACGCCACTTCTGTACAATAGTTAAAGAAGACATTGAATAGCGCGAGTCATTCGTTGAGAGGGGATCAAATCACACGGTTCATGCCCCGTACAATCCACTCATTACTTTAATCTGTTTCTGCAGAAAATAAATCAAATTGTCCTTGAACTTCTTTTTGAAACAGAAATACATGACCAAAAGAATCCGAAAATTTTCATTAGAAAATCCACTTCGAAAATCCCTGCTTTTATTTGTAGAAGATAAGTTTCGGTCTCCCACAAATTTGTTTGTAACCGAATGCTTCATCTAAGAAAGCCACTGACCTCTTATTCCTTTAGATTTATTTTGTTTGACCTGTTAAACGTGCTCAATACATCTCCGTTCCGTACGCAATACGTGTGCATTTCTGCTGGATTTGATCATATATGCGTTCATATACGTGCTTGGAAAGCGGTGTTGACTGTTGAGTTAGGTACAAGCAAACCCCTAACATTGGGGTTGGCACACCATAGACGAATTTGGGAATGTGATCACTGTCCACTCACCAGGCCCCCTATCTGTAGGCAAGCTACTGTGCAAGGATACTGCCCCATGACGGATTATCTGAACAAAGCCACCGCAAAGCTTTCATCATTGAAGGGGGCCTCCAAGATAGAAGTGAGCGCGGGTCCGGATAGATTTATAGATTAACATTGTGTTTAGCAATTGGCAAACCTTTTTAAACGAGTCGATTTTTGCTCTAAGCTTTTCCCTAAATCATATCTCGAAATATAATACTCGCTGAAAATTGCAGTCAAACTTACAGTTGCGGTGAAATTTGAGAACTCGTCGAGATTTGTTAGCTCCTTAATGTAAACCTTAGTTTCCTGTAAGCAAGATAATACATTCAAAACATCAGCAATGTTGTTGAGTTCAGTGGTTCTGGGTTGGGTTGGGTTTGTGTGGCTGGGTTGGGTATGGTTGGGTTGAGCTGGGGTGGATGGGTTGGATTGAGTAGGCTATGGTTGGGTTGGGGTGGGGTGGATTGGGGCAGTGTTGTAGGTCTCGAGACCGGTCTCGGTCTCGAGACCGGTCTCGAGACCACTTTTTGCTGGTCTCGGTCTCGGTCTCGGTCTCGGAAGCTGTGGTCTCGGTCTTGGTCTCGGTCTCGGTCCCCTTTGGTCTCGATATTTTGGCTGGTCTCGGGTCGAGACCGGCAATATGAAGCTTTTACAGCTCGATCGATTACTTTGTGTTCACTTCGTTCAGTACCGTTGTTATTTAAAACATTTGCTAGCCCGTAGATCAAGCTTGTTATATATCGCGGTCGGTTTGGACTCGACTGCACGTTGGAAAGTGCCCAAAGTACATGTAAAGCTGCAGCAGTACCAGTCACTGAACGATTTGGAACAAGTTCGGCATTTATCTGTTGAGTCGGCCACATAAAGCAAAGTATAAACTTGTAACAATTTATGCAATAGGAGTCAACCATTTTCGGGGATGTAGTTTAGCCCACCCCTGTGGGCGTAATCACTTGCATTTTGTATTCTGATAATAAATGAGGTGCTTAAAACTAGTTATATTTTTGACCCCACACAATGTTCTCTTTAATTTGGGACAGTATTTTGGAGAAAAAGTCAATTTTTCTACCTGATTTTCCAGCTTTGAACTCACACACTCTTACCAGTTACCACTCACTGTTGCCATGAGAGTGTATGATGAGACCCCATTTCCTGGCTGCTCATTTTGAAGTACCCCATTATTCCTAAAAAATTAAAATCCCGTTCAGAATTTTTTTTTTAAAATCCATATCACCTCGCAACTTGCGGGTCTAATGTACAAATCCACATTCTATGACAGAAATTAAAAAATTAATTCAACATTTTCTAGCTCCCATATTTTAAAATCAAGTACACAAATTTTGTTAGAAGTTAAGTCCTATATTTATTTTAGGAAAAAAGAGGCAATGTAAAATTAAAATTGCATCTTTTATATCCGTTAGAAGTCATAGCTGAAACCAAGGGGTGACTGTGGAGTTCAGGATCCGAGTTCCTATAACAGATGAAACATCTACCTTTAACTTTTTACTTTTGTCACGATTGGGTGCAGACAACATGTCAAAGCCCATATTTCTTAAGTGTAACTACTTTTTGCTCAAGTAAGGTGTCATGTATCAACATGGGCGTCGCGAGGAGGGGGCAAGGGGGGGCACTTGCCCCCCCCCCCTGGAAAAGCACAAAAAAAAAGGAAGGAAAAAGAAAAGAAAAAAAGAAAAGAAAAAGAGGCGCGAAGACAAAGTGGTGTAAATTTAATGAGTTGGGGGGGGGGGAATGTCCCTGCCCCCCTCTAAAACTGATAAATCAAGAATGTGTTGAGAAATACAAGCATTTTTTGGCAACATTTTTTTTGCCCCCCTCTATAAAAAAATCCTGGCGACGCCCATGTGTATCAATTTGTCAACACTGCCACTGGTCAAAATTTTGGTCTGTATTCTTTGTGAATAGAAAGGTTACATTTTTCAACTATAAAAACGTGTCTTTTTTTATTTCGACCATTGTTATTTATTATCAGCGGTCTCGGTCTCGGTCTCGGTCTCGGACCATATTGGTCTCGGTCTCGGTCCGCCTTGAAGGGGCTGGTCTCGGTCTCGGTCTCGGTCTCGAATCTTCAGGTCTCGGTCTTGGTCTCGGTCTCGGACTATCCGGTCTCGACTACAACACTGATTGGGGTGGCTGGGTTTGGTTGGGTTGGGTATGATTGGGTATAGGGTTGGGGTGGACTGGGATGGTTGGGTTTGGTTGGGTTTGGTTGAGTGGATTGGGTTGGTTGGGTTGGGTTATAATTTTTGAATTTCAACAATAATTAGTCCCTGAAGTAGATTTCAATTTTCCTTGCCATTCAATAACTGATTGTGGATTTAGTGATGCAGGCTTGATTACCTTATCATATGGAATCATTTTGACATCATCGGTGAAATATTTGCCATGGCGCAACTCAAAGTCGGTGATGTTGCCGCTCACTTGAATGGGAGGAGTCCAGGACAAGACGGCTGTGTACTGACCAGTGTCCCCCTGATCAGACAATGAGGGCGCTACACAGTCCACTTGGAAATCTAGGGGAACCCCCGATATCTCCACACCTGTAAGGAAATTAGAAATTACAACAAACATTAATAGGTAAATGGGACACGTAATGATCGGGTATGGTATGTGCTTACTTTATTTCCAACCGCGTTTCCAATACTAAGCCCTGGATAGGAAACTTTCTTCCTGTATCCTGATTCGATACCGCAATTGGCTAGAAATGGATTTATATCGTGTATTTGGTGTTGTTATTCACAACGTACAGTACGTGTTTTCGCGAACATTCGTCCACGCCTTCTTTAAAATATTCATTTCCCTTCCAATTTGTTTATACTAATATGAAATGAGACACTGCATGTTGTCTTGTTAAGAACGTAACAGTTTCATATAAAATCGTATTTTCGTAATTCATGCCATGCTCGCGCTGGGACGAATTGATTATGTTTTTTCCCCAGACACCGCATACAAAAACAAATGCAAATGTAACGCACAGGCAAGCACCAGACTATTCCTCATTTGCATACGTGTTCAAAAATCTTGCACATGCAAATGATCCAATACCAGGGTGAGAGAGCAGGTAGTGGGTGGGCGCGTACTGCTCGACACCCTGGGGACGAGGTTGGGTATGGTTCTGCTCGCACGAGGGATATTATGCTAAGCTCTCTTACGGCCGGGCCGCTGAAAAAGAGTAAATACAGGGCCGAATATACTTTTACGTTGTTAGGGCTTTAAAATATCGACTAAACAAGATTTCCTCGAAGATTTTCACCAAGGATTTTCAAATTTTCAAGTTCTTTGTTTTAAAACTTTATTTCCTGAATTTTTATCGAAGCACATAAATATATATTTTCACTTTATCAACAACTTAGACCATCATTAAAAAAGTAAATCATAATTTGAGGTTCAACTTACTTTGTGTCCGGCAGAACTCTCTGTCTTCAGTTTCCAGATAGCAATCTGAAAACATGAAAGTTGTTATATACGGTGTTTATCTTTCATATTTTTTTGGGTACTTTTTAGGTCAAAGGCGAATACCGTAAAGTGTTGTGGTTACGAATAAAAAGATTTCAAAAATACGAACTGGGCTGTTGATTCAAATGCATGCACTCTTTTCTTGGGGGAAAGCTAACGATCGTATCCCACAAGGTGGAATTGATGACAAGACTGTTGAACTATTTGACGTTTGGCGGTCGGGAGCAGTTTGGTGTTAAGTTCTAGCTCGAGAAGGTGATAGACTCCGTCTGTTCCACAGGAGAGACACAAATGCAGAGTCTCCCAGGACAGCCCTGGATTGCTCACGGCAAGCGTTGGCGTTTGACTGCCAATCAACCGCTTTGAAGAAGACGCAGTGGATTTGATATTAAAACAGGTGCAAAAGATTATTAATAATTTAGCTTAGGGATTAGAAGACGATGAGCTACTGTCATGTGCGACGTACGCGTGCAATGCGACGTTGGATTAAAATCTTGCTCACGGAGCAGATTTTTACTCATCTTAATTACGTATGGCATAAAATTGGTGTCTCTCGACAACTGTTTGGAAGTAATCATATTCCAGTTGTGAAATCAATGGCGCGATACAAAATGGCATCAACCGTTTGCAAACTAAAGGAATGGCTATAACGATACTTTTCACATCTTAATCGGCCACATTCAGACTTGGGCTCCAATCACAATACCCTAGCAAATCAGCGACTGCAGCTGTGCAAAATTGCCTAGATTTAAACTTATTTTCCTGAACAATACGCAGCAAAAGCAGCAGCCACCCTAAGGGCCCTGTCACACTTCTGCGTATCCTAATTCCTTAAAAGTTGCGCATTGACATTTTTTTCATACGCAGTCGTACGCACAATACGCACCTCATATGCATCTCTATCGTTTTGTGTAGGTTTTATGTACGCAGATATACGCATGGTACGGCACAGTACGCAGGATAGTTTTGGGCATGCACAAAACTACGCTGCGTACGCTGTTACGCAGGTCATAAGTTATAAATACGCAGCGCATCGGTCCCGCATCGGTCGAGTGCGTTACGAGTACGCTATGTGTTCCTGACGCACCCTGTCAGCATATGAGCCGCCTGTATCGGACGTATGCATAGCGTACTGGAAGCGCAGATGCAACGCACGCTGAACGGCGAGCGGCGAAAATGCGGCGGGAATACGCTCAGAAGTGCGTCAAGCATGCGGTCGGCATAAGTCGGGTGCCCCCGGAGTACGCTCGGCATGCGCACTGCATACTGACCTACTCGCAGCCCGAAAAATAATGTTGTGTACTGCATACGCAACTCATACGCATCTCATACGCAATGGATGCGCTGAATTCGTTACCTGTACGCTAGATGTGCGTCGCACATAAGTCAAAGTGATCAAAAATTTCGACGTTAATTGAGCGTACGGCTGCGTATTGAAAATTTTTGATAAGGAACTCATAAGGAATTAAGATACGCAAAGGTGTGACAGGGGCTTAAGAAAACCAAACATCGTTAGCACCGGCAGCTGCATAGGAATACCAAACTGTATACTCGTGATCCTCTGACAATGTGAAGCAAATAGTTACGAACCGCAAGATCAGCAACGCCAGCTGCACATCAAGTCGAGCTTTACAAGGGCAACAATGGGGATTCGCTGTACTATTGTACAGAGATTCTCACTTTTTGTCTCATTTGTGTTTACGGAAATACGAAGTCCCAGGAACGGACTAAGTTGACAGAATAGTTATACCAGAGAGTAGCGCTATTGGTTTACAACAAGCATCTCGAGAGGCATTATACAAATCTCTTATGTGCAATAAAAATAAGAGAGTTCTTTCCAGCTCTCATCACCCACTAGGCCTACTTACCAAAATTAGCCTCTTTTTACAAAGTAAATATGACTAAATTGCTGATTGTATTTTTTGGAACCCGTTCTTTGTCAAGGCCATTTTAATTTCTCATCTAATCTGAGAGATAATCTGCGGAACAGCGCAAGATTGCAGCAACTCGACTTACCTGGTGATTCCTGCTCAATATAAGCCTCCAGAGATGTGCGCGTGGACTTGGCCTCGTTGATAACCGACACCTAATACAAAACAAATACACAAAAACAAACAAAACAAAACAAAACATTTGCGCATTCTCGTCATCACAAGACTTTCATAAGAATCCGTACATAGTAAACAAAGCGTGACGTCATGACGTCTCAGGTTTATTGTAACGGTGGCTTATTCTTGGCCTGGACAGTGTATGGAATTTTTAAAAAAAATCGGGAAAAATAGGTCTTTTTAAATTCAAATTTAAATTAAATCTTTTCGAAACACTTTCTAGATTGACCCTGAATTGAGCATTCTTCTTACCCCAAAGAAATATTTGTATCCAAAACGGAGACCAGTGAATAAGTATGATTCGTCTTCCTGTGGACAAATAAAATACAAACTTATGGGGTGAATTACGAAAGGAAACTTTAGATGGAATTTCGAAGACTGAAAATCTACTTCTAAAATCCTAAATATGGTATTTTATTTATTTATCTATTTACTTTTTGTGGGTGGGTGGGGGTGAGGAAGAAGGAAGTGTTTTTGTTCCTGCTCTTCATCAACAAACACGTAAAAATATCACTGTCATTACAGCATTACTAGCGGTAAATTTAAACATTGAGTTCCTTCTGATACGAACTACCACAAAGGAGCAGCAACACGGATTGTGTTAAACGTGCGAAGAAAATTACAAATTAAGGTGCAAACCAATCTTAAGAAATTCTGTTTCTAGTTTTTTTTTAAATCGCTTTCGCATCTCAGTGGCTATTCCCATGGGAAAGTATTCTAGCTAAAGTTACCGAAGTGAAGACGATGCGCACTTTCTTAATACGCAAGCTAACCACATTATGAAGGGTCTGTTGAACTTGGATGAACGTGTTTGCAAACGGAAGATTAAACAATCCAAATTAATGAAGGGTTCCTACCGTCTTCAGAAATCCAGCCAGGGAGCAATTTAAGATAGAAAGTTGCTCTGTGATCTGGCTTGGTGCGCCTCTAACTGCATATCCTCCGAAATCTGCAAGACAGTTTTTGAGATAGAAAAACATAAACAACTCTATTGAGTAAACATCTCTGGTGCAATGCATAGGCAGACTGTTAACTATGACTTTAAAACAGACAGCCTTTCGCAAACTCGACCCAATTAAGACCACGAATTCAAAACTGTCATGAGTGACATTTTGGTAACTTTCATGAGATAGACCTAATGGGTAATGGCGGTGTCAGTTGGCAACTGTTTTGAATCGCTTGAAAGGCATGAGTAAACATTGTGTGCATCCATTGTAATACTAGATTGAAATAACAAAGATCAGCCTCTAAGATACACGCAAAGCATAAGGTCTATACCGACATTACAAAATACCATTTAAGTTATTGGTACGGCACTGGCTTCTGCCTTTTCCTCTATCAATTACACAGAGTCTTACATTTTCTGAAAATGTCGAGATTTTTTCCACATAGACTTTTATGCGTTAAGAAGGAATTAAAGGGTAATATATTTGTACCGCTTGCACAAGTATGAGCAAACAATTTATGCATTAATTATTACTTAATAATAACACAACACCATCTGAGATACCTACAAGGGATAAGGTCTAGCATGTTCGTCGTCGGTTTAGCCCTCATATTCGAAAATAATATAGCCTTGTACGGTACCTGTCGAGCGCAATCCGATTAGAAGGTGAAACCACAGCTTTTGGAAACCTCAACGCGAAGCATAAAACTCGCACGGAATGAAAGCAGTAAGGGCTATATCATGTAATTTTTTTTATTAACCTGTTTTGAATTAGGAACAAAATAGTGTTCCAAATGATCAGCTGTTGCTGGATGGGTTACCCTCATTAAAGATGGTTTCAAATAAATAAATACTTAATTTCGATCTTTTATTGTATTAGGCTTAATCTAATCGTATTTTCCGTTGATCAGAAGTAGATCTCATCTTTTGGTATCCTCTTTCTTTGTCTCACAGATTCGGAGAAGTCCAAGACCTATTATGTAGATCCGTGAGTAACGATTACAACTGACTGCAGAAAAAAAATGCCTTCCTGTTAAAAATGCAATCGTTAACGGACGCAAAATCAACTTAACAATGGAACGAGGACCATACCACTAGGGTATTGATGGTTCTGCCACGTGACGTTTGCAACGAGTTCCCATTGGCTGCCACCGTCTTCAGATGGTATCTGTCGAGTCTGAAAATCCACTTCGATCGTTTTAGACAGAATAACTGAAAAGATTGTTCACAGAAAAGAACAATATAGTCCAATGGGAAATAAAATAACATCAAATGAACTCTAGAATCACTTAGATTATATATTTGGCATGCACACTTACAATGGAAAGTGTAAGTTTGTTCGAAAGCTCAAAAGTTCAATAACTAAACCATTAAGTTTAATCCAAGTATAGCCTTAATTTTAAATTGAATTTCAAATGAGTCTGCTTTTACCGGCTTCCAAATTCACAGAGTACGCCACCTCAGAGAAGATACGCTTTATCAGATAATCTCATCTTTTAAACTTCACTCGATATTTCCATTGAAATGACTAAGCTACGTTATTTATATTTGTCGAAGTATAACCCTACTTTTGAAAACGAATTTGAAATGCGTCTGAACTTTAAATTGCTTGCAAGCTTTAATATAGAATACAATGTACGCCACTTCTGAGACGATATACTGGCCATCTCACCCTTTGGTCTTGCCATACCGACTGTCCCTAGTTAGAATTAATGCCGATCAATCGATATCCTAATGGCCTGGTCTAACCCAACCTCTCAAGCTGGGCAATTTACGATTTATCTGAACCATATAGTCTATTTATCCCTCCTCATTATCAGCAATGGATATCAGCGAGCAGATTTCGCCTTCAATACGATTCTCAGATTCGAGACTAAGCCACATCACTTACCTGAAATTGTAGAATGGCATATTCGTTAATTCGATAACAACTCAGAATACCGACATGTTGCCTTTTTTAGGAAGCGAAAGCATCTGCCTAATCCTCCCCACTTTATGCCTTTTTTACGAACGAAAAAACTGGTGCCATCCCAAACAAAAAATGTCCCAATCTACTAACCAGGCATAATAAGACGCTTCTTAAAATAGTTTGGCAATGGTTGACGTCTTTACATTTTAAGACATAAAAGTACTGTATAAAGTTACCTTGGTTGATGCAAAAACCTTCCATACATGGGCGAGGTAGAATAATTAGAAACAGAACTAGGTCACTGAAGAATGCCCTCATGCTGAATCTAGCTGCCAGTGTGCCCTGAAAGTACACAGTGATTGGAAATGTAAGATTAGATGACTCTGTATTTCAAAAGTCATTTAGGTGAACTTGATCCCCTCGATAAATTGCGCAGAGCGACAAGAACCTTCTAGATTAGAGAATCGATCAATTTAGCCGGCGACAAATCTGAGAGGCGAACCCGTCCGCCATGCACATGTTTACGTAGGCTTAAGCGTGCGCGCTGTTCATTTCATGCCAAACGGGGATGACCGATGAAATCCTTAGTGCAAAACTACGGACCCAACGACGGACTGAGGGAATCTGCATCGAGCGGGCCCAGCGGGGCTTTTGTGGACGATAAATTCTGATACTTCAGGCTTGCCGTCCGTCCGAAGAACCAAACATGCGAATTGATTTTGCGCCCGGTTAAAGCCATGGTAATATGAGCCGTTAGTATTTGACCGAAATTCCTTTTTGGAGGCCACCGCCGCCTCCTTTGTTGTTGTTGTTGTTGTTGTTGAAAAAAAAAACCCGAGAAAGTGATCAATTTTAAAAGGTGACATCATTTTGGCTCCTTTGTCTGTTGCATCTAGCCCATATAAAAGCTGGTATGTCATTTCCCGAGTCCAAGTGGCGGCCATCTAAAAAAAAGCTGGCGACCATCTTAAAAATAGCCCGGCCGGTCGTTTTGGAAAAAAGGGCCCTCCTCCTTCCTTTTTTTCAAAAAGGCAGTACGCTGAATATGTTTTTTTTTATTTAACCTTAATTACTGACGCACCTCAGTTATCTCTTCATTGATTAAATTCTTCAAGAAAAAGTTGCACTCAAGAGGGATTAATGAAACAGAAGCAGATGTTGTCAGTCAGAAAAGTCCATTAAACTGCAGGAATTTAGGGAAATATGTTTAACACCTGGAGTTCATTAATTAAGAAGTTAGTTAATTAAGCTTGGAGTCACATTCTTCAGAGTGCAATTGTCGAATATTTTCCACACTTGATTTGTTCAGAGTCTGTTAATACATCAGCTCGTGTTTGAACACAGTTTGCATCAAAGAGTGGAAAGTAAGATGTTCAAAGCCAAGTTTTTGTTCTGGAACGTGTGGTACAAACTGGCACGAAATGTCATCTCCTGGCACCGGTCTCTGTACACCGCAGTAATCTCAGCTTTGGAGAAAACCTCCTTGGAAGACATTGGTCTCTGACACAAAACCAAAGACGTGTCTTCGAAATCTCAGCTAGCCATCTGTTCAAATAAGACAGCTCGTTATGGGGAAATTATTTAAATACATATGATCATTTGCATTTACCCCAAAAGTAACCTACCAATTTTATTATCATAAGCTTATTGGATTAAATTGTTATTTTATTTGTATATATTATTATATGAAATTATTTTGTCTGAATTATATTAGCGAAATCGTGTTTCGTGATCAAAATGTTGCGCATGGTTTTGTACTGGTTTCTCAAAAAGTGTAGTATCCGCTGAGCTGAAACTTCAACAGCTTAAGTTTTGAGCATTCTTCTTTGGATTTTGAGTGGTGTTTATATTTTTGGGAAACGAATAAAATGTATGAAAAGCAAAATGACCATTTGGCTGTAAAGGTCTCAACAAAGTTCATTATAGGTTTTGTATTGCCCTCACAAATTCCAGGTTAATGGATACAAGAATCAATACTCTGTTGATCATCTTGTCGGTCATCTTAGAAACAAGTAGTTGCTAATTCAGCTGTAGTGTATGTATCTTGCTCTATTTCCGGCGATGCCCTGGGAAATTTCCAGGTTAAGTGATACAAGAATCAATGCTCTGTTCATCTTCTTAACCAAATTTGTAGAGAAAACAAAATAGCAAGGATTTCAGCTGGAGCGTCTTCATTTATTCAGAGTTGTGCAAATGGAAGTGAATCTTTCCAGGGGCTTCTTTCTGTAAGGCAGTAGACAAGAGAATCATCCCTGGAGAGGATTTCGATTTTGAAGATACCCCTTACACTTCTAACTTGTTATACATTTCAGACTGCGAAACTATAGACATGATTGTACAGAAGAGCTGAATCAATAAAAATATGCCTTTGAAAATTTTGGACGGTGCCATCTGAAATAATCCCATGTGAGTTTAGAAGGCTTTATTCCTATGTACAGGAGAATTATCCGATTCT